GCTTACAAAACACTTATATCAGGTCATTTTCATATTAAGCTTTTAGTAAGAGGTTCTTGATTAAAACATTTATTTAGTAGATGACATATGCATAGTTTCAGTTAGGTTAGTGCACATAAGGATGAGCCTCTGTTCTGGTGAAAGGTCAGAAGTGCAACGGGTGAGAAGAGAGAGCATTAAAGGACAAGAGACAGTCAGTGAGGTCGTGACACACACACACATGAGTTAGAATTATTTATAGGAAAGAGGTTCATCATGTCTGGTTCTAACTGCGAAAATGTCTCTATAAAAAGAGGAACCATCCCTTGGTGTCTCTGAAAATAAGGAACGAGGTCTTGCACGATGGGTGGCTGAACGGGAAGTCAAAAGGTTGACTGGAAGTACCGGCTATGAAAATAGAAGAATGTTCTTTCGAACTGTGTTGATCTGATCCATGTATGAAATGTATCTGTGACGTTGAAGGGGCGTCAGTAAATCAAACCCTGATGCTATAAAAATCTGTGTATGCTTTGAGTAAGTCGAAGATCAATTGCTGTCTGCGTACAGAGTTGTCTTCCCACACGTGTGTATTCATTAAAATCAATCGTTTGACCAAGATCTTCTGGACCATGGTGGTTTGTACTCTCCTTCCTCAATATTTGAACCTTAACAGTAGTCATTGGACATGAAAATTAAGTGGTTTAGTGTGGCCCACTAATCAAGAGGCTGGTTTTTCCATCTGGAGTAAGGCTCAATTTTGTGATTGGCTGTTCCATGGCCATATTGCACATATGGCCATGGAACAGGCAAGAGGCAGCGAGATAAGAAAGATCCCACAACAGAGCCAGCTGATTGGACATCGATTAACTGAAATAGTGCTTGATGGCATCTGACTATCTCATCTGGGCTGGCTAAAGCATCTTAAATACTGTCTATAATAGGATGTGTATAAGTGCTAACACTAGCTAATCTGCCAGGATTGTGGCCAGTCTAATCTCATGCTATGCTCAAGTTTTACCTTTCAAAGTTTCTGCACTCTTATTCTTTGAAGATTCAGGTTCTGGAGCTGCAGCACCTGCAGACAGCCACATATTTAGAACACCTCAAACATAAAACCTGACAGTCTGAAGTCTTGTGAAAACAGACCTGGAGCAGAGCCAGTTGTATTTGAAGTAATGTGGGTGTCATTGAAAGATGTGGCGTAGTCTGAAACAGAAACGCATTCAACGTCCATCATGTTTCCACTTTTAAGCATGTACAAAATACTAATACTAAAAACTAATTGTGAAGATTTAAACCACAAAAATAATGACCAACCTGCAGCAGGACTGGTGGCATTCAGGGCATCAGTTAAAAATCGTGGACCAACTAAACCAACTACAAGTATGCACAATGTTTTTAAACCAAGAAGGATACAATTAATCTGCAGGAGCTGTCTGTCAATGTCTAATCTTAGAACAGTAGACTAGTGCAAGTGAGTCAAGCAAACACAAAACTGTAGCAGAGTCTGTATTATTGTGGGGGTCATTCAAATTTAAGGGATAATCTGAAACAAACATCCAATATTGACCATCTTTCCCATTTTTAAGCATGTACACAGTAAACTAACACTAATGGCCTTCCAATGACAAAACAATTATTTGCACCAACCTTCAGCAAGACTGGTGATATTCAGAGCATAATTTAAAGGAGTTGCACCACCTGAAATATAAAGCACATCCAGGGTTTACATTGTGCAGTACAGATTCCATATAAATGACTGTAACAATACAAAATAATAATAATCAAAGAATTTCACACACCAACCATCCTGGGATTTACAAGGGAGTTAAGAATAATGAAGGAATTCATATTCTACCAATGGAAAATAATCTGAGTCACTCAGTGACCACCAACCTGGAGCAGAGCTGATGGTATTGAAGGTATCATTTAAATATATGGCATTGTCTGAAACAAACATCAAATTTTGCTTTTTGAACAGGCAGAGTTATATTAACACTGATGACTTTCCAATGACATAACCCACAGAAACACATTAGCACAAACGTTCAGCAAGACTGCTTGCATTCAGGGCATCATTTAAAGGAGCTGTGCCAACCGAAATGGAAGCAGTGTTTATAAAGCGCACGAAACAAAATACTAAATCTGTTCTTTGGTTATACATAACCATAGAAATGGTACAATTCCCAAAACAATTTTCTTAATTAGAGAAAGTAACAAATGTATAAGGGTGCTAGTGAATTAACCAGAAGCCAACCTGGAACAGAGTTCGTAGCGTTCAGAGTGTTTTCTAAAAAAATATGATGATCTGAAAGGCAAAGACCAGTATTGACAATTTCCACTTTTAAGCATGTACAAAATATATTGGACAATAACGGCTTTCCAAAGACATAACTCTAAAATAATTCCGAACCAACCTTCAGCAAGTCTGCTGGCATTCAGAGCATCATTTAAAGGAGTTGCACCCACTGAAATGAAAATCCAGTACATATATTTCATATAAATGACCGTAACGATACCAGAATCAAATATTCTGGGTTACTGGACAGCCATTGTATGCAGTGGTCCACACTAAATAATACCAGATGCACAACAACCACCCTGGAGACAGTTAAGTGGACTGGATTCATGATCTAGCAAATGAAAAATATTCTGAGTGATTCAGTGAGCACCAACCTGGAGCAGAGCTGGTGGTATTCATGGTGGGATTTAGAGAAAAGGCATAATCTGAAATAAAAATACAGCTAATATCAATGATGTTTCCACTTATTTTAAGGGTGTAAAGAACTTTCAGCATATGACACAAATACCGGGGACCCATGAAGCAAAAAATATTCTGTCTGTAGAAACTTCTATTGTATCAAGTGTTAGAAAATCTTTAAGTCATCATTGTATTCTAGCAAATCTAAAAACAGTGCAAGTGCATAAACTGATCACAAGTCTGGAGCAGAGCTGGTGGCATTGTGGGCGTAATTAAAAAAAAAACATCACATCAAAAATCTGTCATGTCACAAGTAAGGGGAACTGCTGCACATCTCACACTGCATCCACCCTTAAATCCACACACCCCCCCACACCCACACAAAAATAGGCACTAACTGAAAGTGACACTTTCAATATCTTAACTACATTTGGAAATGTTATTGATTATGAATTAAAAAACAAACAAACTCTGGAGCTTACCTCTTTGAGTCGCTGCAGTGGTGCTCTCATACCCACCCGTGGTAGTGGCATTTAAAGAAACATTACCTACAAAAATGTAGAATCCTCAGATTTGATATGTTGCAGCATATGCAAATCAAACATGCAAATGAATTTAATGAGCACCAACCTGCGAAAGGACCGACGGGACTGATGGGAACACTGCCAACTACATACACACAAAAACATTATCACTATTAAGCTAAAAATCCATACTTTGCAGTACATATGTTTTTAGGCTGTACCTGTTGACAGGCAGAAGGCGGCCAGCAGCCACATAATGCAGCAAGACATCTTTTGGCAAAGAGAAAAGCTGTAACAGGTGTTGTCTCTCTGATATAGACATGTTACTGTCTCCACAGGTGTCATCACTTCCACTGATTACAACGGTCCAAACTAAAATTAAACCACTAGATGGTGCTACATTATTTTTGGTTGGCAGTGTAGGAAGAGACATTTCACAAGGAGGCGATATAACACTCAAACAATCTTGAATTGAGATTATGGGAGAGACAGCAAAATGTCATTTATTATGCATTTGAGCTGGATATCATGCCTTTTTTTAATGTGTCATATCATGTATTTGTTCTCTAATGCCCTTGCTTTGTGGAGGTCATGGGACTCTAATGTGGTTGCAAAATATACAGTGGGGCAAAAAAGTATTTAGTCAGCCACCGATTGTGCAAGTTCCCCCACCCAAAATGATGACAGAGGTCAGTAATTTGCACCAGAGGTACACTTCAACTGTGAGAGACAGAATGTGGAAAAAAAAATC